ATGTACTAGAATATCTATTTGATGATACTCAAATTGTTATTACGCTTTATTTTGAATTATTAGAGGGTATGTACTTCATTATTTTATATACTACAGTACTAGAACATCATTTGATTATACTCAAATTGTTATTACGCTTTATTTCGAATTGTTAGAGGGTAGCTTATAATAAGCCAGTTTAAGCGCGGGTTTCAAGCCAAGCTAAGCCAAACCAATAAAACTGGCTTGAGCCAATCACATGTTCTGTATATTATAGTCAAACAGAAATATAATAAATATTATTATTACTTATAAAATTTAAATCTTTTTACTTAAAGCAAAGTTAAAAAATAAAAAATAGTTCTATTTTGAAATCCTAATAGTCAAATTTTAATATTCAAAAACTTAATACCAAAATTCTGACAATACTAAAATTCCAAAACCCAAAATTTGATATCAAAACTTGTTATTTCCAAAATTTCAACAGTACCAAATTCTGATATTACCAAAATTTCAATACTACTTATATTAATTCTAATATCCAAAACCTTAATAATATTAAAATTCTAATACTGTAGTTTAAATTTTAATAATATTAAAACCTCAACAGTTTAAATCTCAACATACCAAATCTTGATAGTGTCAAAATACTATAAATCTAATCTATTTTTAAAAAAGTTATAAAACTAAACTTAAATTTAAAATATAGATTTAATTATTAATAATAATAATTATAATAGAACAGGGTGAAACCTGAGTCACCAGCTAGTAAAATTTGCTATGTAGAGTGAAATCTGAGTTTGAGTTAGGGTTAAGGGTAAAATCTGAGTTTTGCTATGTTTTTTATTATACAAAAGCAGATTTCAATCCTTATGCGATCTACATAGCAGATTTCACTCTACATAGCAAATTTTACTAGCTAGTAACTCAGGTTTTACCCTGTCATAATATAATTATTGTCGTGGCTGATAAACTACCCAGTATCACCAAGGAAAAAAACGGATACATGACTAAAATTTTGATTATCATTATATGTTTATATATCGATATATTTATATACATATACGTGTAATAGCAAAAGCATTAATATTTTGTATTTATAATTCTATTTGAACTACGTGCTACAAATTTCCAAGTTACATATTTAAAATTATATATATTTTTTAAAACTAAACTAAATTATAGTCTAATTTTGAAGCAATGCTTTGTACAGAATAAAGTCAAGATTTTATACTTTAAAAATTATTGAAATCTGGATTTTTATAGATTATTGTGACACATATATAGTTTTAGCCCCGTTAGTAAACTTCTCAATAGCTTCACAATTTCATTATTATTACCGTTTAATGCAATTTGTATTTTTGCTTGAAATGGATTGTCATCTTGTATTTATAATAAATAACAGGTATTACTATTATAATCTTTCCAGGTTAGCGGCATTGTTCTTCTTCTTTGATACTCTTCAACGTCCACAACAAACTTTAAAAGAGAATCAAAATTTTTTTTATAGCCTTTCTTAATTTTTTATTTCCAACTGATTTTTGTTGTTCTAAAATAGCAAGTGCTTTTTTGGATATATTAATTAAATTGTCAAGAGAATTAAGAGAATTTTCATTTTCATCTAAAGAATTGTCAAGTTCATTAATAACTCCATTATTATTATTCATTAAACTATTATTTGGATTAATTGTCAAGTTAGACATTACTGCTTGATCTTGAATTAAAAAAAGAGGATATCCGATTCTTTTAACTTGATTAAAAAATATTGGTGAAACATCTCCTTTCATATAAATTAAATATTTGCAAATATTAAATCAACTAGTTAAATAGTAATAGCATCCGCAAACCCATTTCTCTAAGTCAGTCATATAAAAATTCTTTGCTGGTTTAGAAGATAGTTTTTTCTACTCAGATTTGAAGCTTTTAATCCATTCAGGTTTTTCAATTCTATAATAAAGTTGTTGTACTGTAAATTTTTGAAATAACAGGCATCTGCGTATTATTTTAAATATGTACGCGTTATTTTGAATACACACATGGGCATTATTTTGAAACAAATATAAAATTATATATATATTTTTATATAAAAAGTGAATAAATAAAAATGCTCCGAAACTAGGTTCGGTGCTAAATAAATCTACTTTCAGGCTTTAATTAAAGTTTATTAAAAATAGTACAGTATATCGTTCACAATGGCTCTTCGAAGTTTTACAGCATTTGTTTATCTTTGTTTACATAAGTTGCAAAACTTTGGGAAGCCATTGTGGACGATATACTGAATTATTCTTGATAAACTTAACACTATTAGAACTATCTCGATCTGAAGAACAACTTTTGTTAAAGCTTAAAAGTAGATTTATATAGTACTAAACCTAGTTCTAGAGCATTTTCTAAATTTTACTACCCTTTACTATTAGATACGTGTTATTTTGAGACACGCATGGGCGTTATTTTGAAACCACCTATACTATTTTTAGGAGGCACGATTTTTGAATTAACGCCTCTGACCATTATTTCAAGAATTTACAGTAATTTATGATTTTGATATACAATTACTTTTCTATTAAGATATACACAACAAGATCTATTCTTGAGCGAAAAAATTTATATAAAAAGTCCCTTTTAATCATTTTCCAATAGCTTTCAATTATTATTGTAGTTTTTAGCACTGAAATTTTATTTTCATATAAAGATCATGCTCACAATACCCATTTTGAATCTATATATCATTCTGTTTACAAATATATCCAAAGTGAAATTAAAGAATTATTTTTGCAAAATAAATATATTTCTTGAATAGCCATTTTATAAATGGTTTCTTTTGTATAAAATTTACTATCCTTTGTTAGAATAAATAAATGTTGGCATAAATGCTTTTCTATAATATCCAACACTGTATTTCAAAGATCTTTTGAACAAAATTATGCAGTTTGCTAAACTTTATTAAAGTTGTCCAAATTCTGAAAGAGAATTATATGTTGAAGATCTTGTTGATTTATTACTAATAAGTCTAGTGCTAATTGCTCTCTTA